TTCATTAAAGTATCCTTCGAATCTCTTATAATACTATGCTTATTAAAAATTTTAAACTATATTAGACGTTGAAGTAATGCTAAAAGTACAAAAAAAAAATAAAAAACCAACTCTAAAAAATTTAATTTACTATTAAACTGCTTTTTTTCATATTAACAGTCTTTACACTTTATACAGGTAATTAAATATTATTCGGATCTCTTTTGTAGAGACCTGTAGTATTGATTACAAACTCATTAACTGTTAAAAATAATGCTTTTAAAAAAAAGCTAAAAAATTTTACAAGCCTACTTAACTGTATACTATTCCGTTATATTCTGTTATTAGGCTATTAAGAAGAATACGGTATTAGTGAAAGTCCCTCGGGAATAGGATTATATGGGATTAAATCTGCCAATCACTAGTAAAGCGAAAGACCAACATATTCTAACAATTATTCAATCGTAGGTAACATACTTAGCCACTTTGTCATATGAGCGATTGCATTATCATATAGGGGTACTTTAAAATTAATATAAATAATTGTGTAATGATCTACGTTACAGTTGTACCACATTAGCCAATCAAAAGGACTTTCCATCATGCTGACAATTGATCCGTACAGAACTCTATAGACCCATATACACAGCAACAATTAATGCAGAAATTACATTCACCGATCCATTGCTAAGTGGGATAATGTTGGTACATTATCTGCATAATTATCTTACTTAGGTGACTTCGAAAGAGACTTTTACAAATATGCTGATAAAGAAAAGATTACGATAGATAAACTGCACAATGGCTAGGGAATAGCACTCTGATTTTTTTTTATTAATCACTTTAGAATTTGGCATTCGAATATCTTAATTCATTAAGGAAAACCACAAAGTGTGGATTTGGGGCTTTAAAAAGCAGATATATAATTTGCGTTTACTATATAAAACAATATACTATCCCTAATTATCAACGTGATATGTTTATAGCATCAATATAAGCCTCTGGGAAATTTCAAGTGAATGAACTATTCTGATATTTAAAAGAAAATTGAACCTATAGAAAATAATCTTGCTAGCTACAAGAAACAAAATTTGTTCTCAATACTTATTCTTAATAAAATTTTTAGTTGACACCCATTCTAATAGAAAATTAGCTCAAAATAGAGTAGTCTTCTCAAGTCATATATTTGTTTTTATTAGTTATTTAATAAAGTTAAAACTGCTGTAACTAATCAAATTTAAATAAAATGTTAATAGACATTACGGCGACAGTACAGCATTATAGAAATATGGCATTACAGAGCAACATTATTTACAATAATACGTGTCTATTAAAAAAAATAAATCCTACTATATTCCTTAATTATAAAACCTAACTTAAATTCTAATCCAACTATAAAAAAAAATATCTAAAAAAAACACCCTAAAAATTTTTTAAAGTTTTATATTAAAATGAGTTCAAATTTAAGCACTGTCCGATTTCAGCATCTCCCCAACAACACATTTTACAGCTTTTAGAGAATTTAAGACTTTATACAGGCCTACTGAAAATTAATTGCAATTGATTTTTTTTATACACCATACAATTAAAATCAATTAAAATTATCGAAACCCAATTAATGACGAAATAATTGAAATTAAATAAATACAATTAAATGGGTAATTGTTTTTTAATCCAGACCAAAATGTTTGTTTCATATATAAAATTGGCCCGTGTTTAAAAATAATTACCCAAATTCACTATACCACGTATACAGTACTCGATGTGCCCGAATTTTTAAATAGCTCAATTAAAAACAATGTATATTTACGGTTAATATACGATTATATGATACATAAGCTAATTACGTAAAAATTGCAATTAATTGACTCATTGTGACTGTGCACTAATCAATTGAGTTCAAATTGTAATTAATTGCTGCACAATCAATTATTCGGTAGGCCTGACTTTATATGAAATTAAATATAGTTTAAAATTCGTAACGACGAGTTAGTTTCTCCAAGATCCAAAAGTTTATATAACCAATGATAAGGCTGAGTCGATTAAGGTGTGTTGGATTTGGCAAGCTAGATGGATAAGTATTTCTCTCCTTCAACCCTCTACTATCACCTATTAATACACGAACAATTCGATATATTGAATAGACAAGAACTGTTGGATGAGGGGATGAGGTAACCTAAAATTTATTTTTAAGCTTCGGCTTCGTGTTGAGTCAAGTATCTTTCAAATGCACCTGACATTTTTAAGCATGTGATGATCGACAGAAACTTGACCAATAAATGGGTTCTATTTTATTTTGGTGTATATTACATGACCAGGAATTTGTACTTTGGGTGTAGCAAGTTTGTGCAATATGATGATTATCAAATCCTCAGGCCATAATGCTATACATTAACCTAGTTTATTAATATATACCGTATATAATCTTATACATATGGGCTAATTTTTTCAGTAATTTAAATAGTAAAATTGATTACTCATAATTCTGGCCAGATTCGAAGTAGAAAAGATCTGGGTTTGGCCAATGATCTGCAAATTTGGCCAGAGTTACAAGTAATCGGTTCCACTATTTAGATTACAAACAAAATTAGCAAAAGAAATACTATATAACTAAATGATATATCTGTCTTCAGTATTTAGGTTAACTACTCATTAGACACATTATTCATGAGTAAAAGGATATAATTCAAATCTTTTTGTTTGGGGTGCATATGACATGAGACTTAATTTTCCAATTACGGTATGTCTTTAGCTTTGTCTTTGGCTTCTTTTTTAGCTTTATCTTCAACTTTGTCTAGTGTTGTTTTCAATTTCATTTTTAGCTTTGCCTTCAAATTTGCTTTCGCGTTTGGCTGCTTCTTCTTTAATATTTTTATTAGCTTCTCTAAATAATTTATCGATCTTCTTCAAATCTTTATAACGACTTTAAAAATTCATCTTTGTAAATAATTATATAAGTATTGAATCGATAATTAACGAGATAACATTAAAACTATTAAAACTATTGTAGCATTTATTCTTACTCGTTATAAACAATTTTACTAATCTTCGTTTGAATTAATTTTTTTGCGCAACCTTAAAATATTTCAAATTAACAAGCTCAGTGTGTGTTAAAAAGAAACTATGAGATCATTAAAACAATATTACATACAAGGACACGGAAACCTAATAAAAGACATTAAATTTCTGATAATTATGTATAGCTTATAAATATCATTTATACTACTTATACACTTACGTAGTACAATAAAGGGTACAACCCTCTGCTTCCCTTCCAGCTATCAATAATACATTTTCTTCCGCGTGTATACATATACAATTATCCCTTCCTTCCTCTTTACAACGTTCACAACGACCATCAATGCAATTATCTATGTATTTGGGTGCTCCATTATACCCAGTTGCGATTACTCTGCAATCGTCTTTAACTAATATGCATTCAACCTTACAGCTTATACAATTGGCTCTTGATGCTAAATACATAAAATAATCCTCTTTCAATGGTTTTTCCAATATCTCTGATGATTAAGCTCATCATCTGATTTATTATCAGTTGACACAGTGAAATCAACCATGGACATCATTTTATATTTTTTCTTATTATCGTTATCAATTTCTTGCGTAAATTCAGAAGCATTGATTTTTTTCACTGTTTCAATAATAGTTAATTAAACATATTCGATAAAAAAACTGTAATGCTTTTAAAATTGATGCTTACCTTTCTTTCTGGTTTTTTTTTTCGTTTGTTTTTCTTCCATGTATTATCTTGACGACATGGAAAAATTTCGCTATTTTGTAATGTGTTTCGATAGAATTGTTTTGACTCAGTTTCATTAGTAATAAGTAGTTTTAAGTATTGAAAATTGAGTTGATTTCTGGGTGACTAGCAGGATTGTAGTCCCAACATTTTTTGTGAAGTTCAATATATTGAGGTGGAGTACCTTCTATAGGTTTTTCTCTCTTTCCTTGGTAAATAAAAAAACAGATCCCATCTTTGATTTGAAGGTTTAAAATGGGGCCTTCCCACTTGAAATTTCCCAGAGGATTACTCCAAAACTATAAATATCTAATTTCTTATCACGTTTATATCCTTACTTAATAAGACATTGATGTTCGATACATGCTGGCATTCCAAAAGCGGTTGAATTTGAAGTTTAGACGTTTATCTTCTTTGATAGTCCGAAATCTGTGATCTTTGGCTTAATTTGATGAATTAAAATATTTTTCGAATGCTCAAATTTTAAAGTATTGGTGATTAATGGGACCATATCATTTCACCAACAATCACTTCAAAGACACCCCATTTCATCGACATATTTATATTTCATCGACATGTTTATATTTCATCGACAGTTTATATTTCATCGACATGTTTATATTACAGGCAGATAAGTTCATTTGTAAACAGTATATTTCACCGATAGCTCATTTCATTGATATTTTTTTTTATAAATTGCATTAACCTTGACTCTAATTCTAAATCTAACCCTAAAGGCAATGACTAGAATTATTTTGCCTGTGAAATGAGCTAAGCTTGTCGGTGAAATAGGGTGCCTATGAAGTGATTACCGTAAACTGCTGACCCGGTGTGATGCAATTTTTCAAATAGTGAAAAATTAAAACTCACGTATATTATTCATCACAGGCACATATAAATAATATTTTAAAAAATCGATCTGCATTATTTGTCACGCCGAGTACTTGAGTCAGCTGTTTACGGTATCTGTGGGGGAGCCCTAATTGGTCGCATGAAATACCATCTTCAATTGGGTAAACATCACGCCACCGCAGCCGCAAAATCTTTAGTTTTTCTTCAAAAAAAAAAATTCAAATAATTATTAAGCGAAAGTTTATGCACTTTCAAAATTCTTTCTTGTAGTAAAAAAAAAAAAAAA